GCATCGCACGCCACAGTGGCGTTGAGACAGACGAGTGTGTGGCCCGAGGGCAGGAGAGGAGAGAAATGGAGGGCTGAACATGCATTAGCAGACATGGCATCAGACAAAGAAAAAAAAATTACAGTTAAAGTTTGCTCATGGCCCCCGGGGCTGACGCACTCGCAGATGCAGAGAATGCAGAACACACAACGATTAATGTTTTTATGTCCGCATATTGGATATGTAATATACAGGACCCCACTCTGACTTTGACATGACCTTTGACCTCCTGATATCAACAACATGAATACTTGTAGAGAAAGTGTCTGGTCATTGTCTTAAAGGGGAAAAGGTCAAAAGATTTGAATTAACCTCTTAAGGTTAAGATACTACAGTAGGGTAGAAATATAGCCTTCTAGGAGCATGTAGGCTTCTAGGTTTTGACCACTAGGGTGCTTCAAATGCAGTGTAAAACACCCAGTGTTTTGCATAATGAGACTGTATGCAAATATTTTGATATGTTAAAGTACTCGGTATGTTTTGATCTAAGCAAACGTGAAAGTCACAAATGTAGCTGCATTCAGATTTGGATCAGCTTTATCTGCCCCAATGGGCAGTTTATAAGGAGCTTAACAACAAAACACTAATTACAATATATAGGCATAATTAAAATAATTGCATACTTGGTGTATTAGTAATTCAATTTCTATTACCTATGTTACTAAAATATACGCTGTACATATACAAAGGAATAAATATGTACACACTTTATATGGAGATACAACGACAGGACTGAAATAAACAGAGCACTTTTTTTTATCTGTCAGGCAACTGTTGTATCAATTTAGGAAATAAAATTTGTTGCCCGGCTCTTTCAGTGATTTAAGATAGTGCTTACCCAGACAATGCATAAAAGACAGGAGATATACATGGACAAATAAACTCAAGTTAATGCTAAAGCTGTCTGCCTGCTCCTGGGACTCTAATGCAATCAGAAATCACTGTCACTGACCTGAAATGGCCTCGGAGAGAGTTACTCACTAACTTCTCTCAGGTCTGTATCACTGCTTTTATTTAAGGCACTTTTTAAATTCCGTTCAATGCGTTGTACAGCAAACAGAAATCTCTTATCAGTCAGATGATAGTATATTCTGTTGATTAACAATGTCCTGCCAGTGTTTTACGTGTCTATTAATCAGTTTTATTACTCAGACTAATAAAATGTAAGCACTACCACCTTGTAGGGAACTGTTTAAAAAAAAAAAACACTAATAATTTCCAAACCACAGAGAGAACAAACCATAAAACAGGCGAATGTAGGATAAATGATCTCGTCCTGATGAAGAAGGAGGTCAAAGGGTTTGTTGTTGGATTTTATTAAACAATGACCATCTCTGCTGGTTTGATCTGCTCTTTTGGTTATATGTATATTTATTTATTTATTCATACAGTCATCTGTCGCTGTATTACGTTTTGGCTGTTGTACACTCAATGCATCGCAGGTTTTTAATATTTTAAATGTGTTGTGGATTTTTCACTCTGTCGTGGGCTTTTGCGTTATATAAAAATGTTTACATTTCCAATACTTTCATGATTTTTGTGATTAAATAAGCATTTTATAATAATATAGCCTGAAAAGAAAAGCAGTAAAAAAAAATAAAAAAAATAAATTAAAAGACATTTTGTAACACATACATACAGGGTATTGCAAGGAATAAACTGTAATCCGTGTAAACAAGATTTTTTGACATTTTTCTGCCATATTTTATGCCCTACAATGCTTCCTAAAGGTTTTAGGGTTAATATATATGTAAATAATATAATAACTATCGCATCCCTACTTTGCAGTTTTTTTGGCTATTGTGGGCCATGGAATGTAAACCCCGTGATAGACAATGAACCTATATATGCATATATAGATATGTCTGTATACATGCATATGTGTATATATTTATATATAAGAAAACTGTATTTTTTGCGTTATATTTCTTAATGGCCAAGGCCTCCTCCACACACAGTAGAGTCATTCTATTGAAGAGCAGAATATTTTTTGTGCGGTCTCTCATGAAAAGTTGAACGGTTAATCTTATTATGTATAATTTATAACTCTGGCTTCAGTTCTCACTGAGCACGCGAAAAAAAAAGTTTTGAGTCGGAGTCTTCAAACTTTCAGGCTTGCAGTAATTGGAAAGTGCTTCTTGAAATGTTTTTCACTGAGGAGTTACATCCCGAGGAGAGCTGAACAACAGTGTCGTCTTTGAGTGAAACATAAGGTCAAAATAATTGTTCTCTACACCTTTTGTCAATAGGAAAAGGGCAAAGTTAGTTGGACCCCCCCCCCAAAAAAAAAAACAGTTTGGAATGCTATTATGAAGTTGTGAAAACTGTATACCTTGTAGCATAATTGTCCAATGAAATCTAGTGTCAGTAGCACTGATATAAAAATGATATCTATAATGTGTGTCTATATTTCAGAAGACGTATAATGAATATTTTCTTTATTTTCTTCAGTGTCCAGCTGTCAGTTACCAGTCACGTCTCCATTGAAATGGTGACCCTTACTGACAAAAACCCATGGAGTTCTCACTATAAAAAAACTGAAGCTTGTTGTTGAGACTGTAAACTTGTTAAGAAAGAACTGCGTTTTAATGTGACAAATGGAGTGAAAATTAGCCTGGGTCTCCCACAGACTCGTTAGGAGTCACTTGTAAAACCAGTGGAGTGGTTTCTTATTTAAAGTCTGCGGACATCACTAATGATGTTGTTGTTGGTTTATTTTACACTTTGTTGCCTCCAGTATATTACGGCATTCAGATGTCCGTCCTCACTATTATTCAAACCAGGAGCATGACCAACACGACTTTATCTCCAGCTGCTAAGTGAAGCAGCCGGAGCTAACACCTCCCAAAGAGCTTCTTGGTGAAACAAACCAAAACAAACCAACAAACCAACAAATATTCTGTTGTTATCTTACATGTATTACGTCTAAATAATGTGAAGTATTCTGAGGATCAACCTCTCACCTTTGACAGTAATTAAAAACAAAGTGGTATGTTCTACGATACATCATTTTTAATAGTATTATATTGTGTTGCGGTAAATACAGAAGATGTTTGTTTTCTTTTTGCACATCCATGCCAGTGGACGCCCAGTAATACATCACCCAGCCCATTAACAAGACACACTAATGAGGAGCATTAGTAGCCTCTCACTTCCTGTTTTGACCCTCCTGCTCAGCTTCTGTGAAATACAGAATTTATGCCGCAACACCGGTCCGTTCAGACGTGACGCGCTTCTAGAAAAATCCCACAATCAATGCCTAATATTGATTGTGTTTCATTAAATCCAGCCACAAGCTCTCCCAATACACAGGATTCACTAAGATAAAACCCACTTGAAACTTTTATCACAATTATTGCTGGTCACTTTGCCGAGGAAAAACACAGTCACGTATAAACAAGATTTGCATTTGTATGTCTGAGCTGCAGCGTCTTCCAAGGGTAAAATGTTCCACTGAGTACTCTACTGCGTATATTCTATTTGAAGTTATTACACACATTCATTTCCTCCAAATCCAACTACATATATGTTTACAAGTGTACAGTGGTTTATTTTATTTAGATTTAGGTGCAGTGGTGGCTTGGTTGTTAAGAAAGTGGACTTGGGTCTGCAAGGCTGCAGGTTCAAGTCCAGCAGCTGCTAAGTTACCACTGAGGTGCTCTGAGCACAAACAACAAACAAAACATTCAAATGAATTGGCATCAATACTCCTGTACTAGAACACTTAGATGATAGACTAAGGTATTCAGAATGTATTTATTGCTGCCCCCTGCAGGGAATGAGGGGATTACATGTACATGCTGTGATGTTATATCTGTCGTCATGCCTCAAAAAATCCAAACCTTTTCAGGTTCATAAACATTGTAGAAGTAGTTGATGCTCCGCCGGTCAGGCCACCAACTGTCAACTCTTTATGTCCACAGCACTTTTTTCACTAGTGAAGAAGAATCTCCGACTGTGATATGACACCAGTGTAACACAAATAACATGGACTGCACTTGTTAGGATGATATTCCTGTAGAGCTTCTGAATTCCTGCATACATTTGTGTGTGTGTGTGTGTTGTGTGGTTTAAAAGCCTTTCCGTGCTGCCGAGTGATGTCATCGCTGGCATAGGTGGTTCCTGTTTGACAAACAGGAACAGTGGATCCCATCTCTGCCAGTGCTTGCAGCTAAATTGGGCCTGGGGACAGCTCACAGCCCACCCTCTGATGTCACCAAAGAACAGTTGCCACATGAACAACAGTGGCTTTAACCTTGGCACCAGATTGCATTGTATTCCATCACTGCATTCTCCTCAAACCGTCCCCCAACTGTCTCTGTGTCACATCCAGCTCTGCTGTGGGAGATCCTGATCACATGTCCATGGTACAGGGGAAATTGAACCAGTAATCCATTATTATTAAACACTCCACCCATGATCACTTCAAATCCTATTAGCACTCCACCAAACAACACTTCTGCTGATATTATGCAACTGTGATTTCTTATCTCCATAAAATCCAGATTTGGCCGCACACACTGAATTGTGATGTATCTTAAGAACAAGAGTAATGATAATTTTAAGTTGGCAAAGTTGTATTTTTTTTATTTTAGAAAATATAAAAGAAATACATTAACACATGCTGGCACTGATCATTAATCTTCTCATTTCAATATAAAAAAAACCTCTTCATGTTTGTTTACTCAATATACTGGAGAAATATAAAGTTTCTTAATTTTGAATTATGTTCCAGAAATATATTTCTTTAATAATTAATTATGTTCCAGAAATATATTTCTTTAATGTTGCCTTATTCACTTTCAATATATAAAAATGATACATTTAAAACCTGAGATGTCTGAGCTGCTGCTGTGCTTCTCAAAGAAGAGAAAAGAAACTTTTTTTCCAGGAAAAGGAAAAACTAGACTGACAGCGAAATTAACCAATCAGAGATCAGTCTGAGGTGACACTTCCTGCATCACCATTTGCAGGAAGTGTCAAGTTGACAACAAACCATCAAGCAATGTGTGCAGATGTTTCCTAATTTTTGTTCGAGACAACTGGGAAGCAAATGTGAACTCCAGTTCCAAAGGTGGAAAACCAAGCAGACTCGACCAGGTACTATGAGAATCTCACTTGAAGCTGACCACCACAGTTACACCTGGTTAAATGAAAATGACTTCAAGTTAAACAGAGTAGATTCATGGAACACGTGTGGTTTCAGGATTCTGAGGGCTTCAACCGAGGACGACCAACCAACACCTGACGTCTGATGAAGCTAACGCCGCAGCTCACTGGTCAGTCCTGCTGGATTTTCTCTCTTTGTTAATGACACAGGTCAAACCTGCTGCTGCTGCTGGGTGTATGTTCTTTAACATGTTTTGCTTGTTGATATATTTATGGCTTGAATGATCCTTAGCAGTGTTCTGTTTCACACTGGCAGATGTTGTTGTTGTTGTTGTTTCCATAAGCTTAGAGTTACTGCAGTACTTTATATGTAGTATCAGTGTTTCCAGTCAGAGACTTGAAGGAAGGATGTATTTAATTTGGAACTGATGTCCTCAGTTCCAAATTCACAGGCTCGCTGTGTGAACAACTGCTGTTTATACAGACTGTGTGTGTGTGTAGCTGTGTGTTTGGTCTGAAAAGTCAGACCTCTCACGAGGAACAAGTGAAGTCTGGATAGATGGATCCATTTGGACCTCACTGAGACGCAGCAGCCTGACCTCACAGAACGTTGTCGGCACCCGAAGAAAAATAACACAGAAATGTAATACATTGACTCAAAGCTTTTAAATAAATCAATATTTATAAAAGCATAAAATAAAATGCATAAATTCTGTCAGCTATGTTTTAAAAAAAATTAATATTCAACCTTCTCCTAAAACACTTAGACGTCGCATCTAGAACACTCTAAGTGGAATCGGTCTGAGATCCCAGCTTTCTGGAATTCATCATTAGACCTGCAGCTAAATGCATGCTCATGATTCAAGTGGCACCACTTGTATGTCATTTTGTTTTTCGCTGAAGTTGTATTTTTCATTCACGGCTGTGTGACGATGTGTGAGGCCAGACTGGGGAATGAGGTGGAACACAGGATGTGGTGTTTTAGGCACTTGGATGCCTTTGGTATATTGTATTTATTGGTGCAAAAACACACATGCAAGCATGTTCCTATAGACTTAAACACACACACTCACACACATGACCCAACGCTCTACTATTATAAAAATGCTGAGGCATTATTTTCCCCCTACTCTGTTCCTTCTAATGAACTGCTTGGCCGCGTCTCCTCGTTCATGTAATGATTGTGATGTTAACCCTTCTGACCCCTAACGCAGCACATACTGATTATCAGGGACAAATTGCCAATTAAAATAGAATGTATGGTGGAGTTTGGCAATGCATTCCTCACAGAATAGTCAATCTCCCTCAATTATTAATCTGACAAGATATAGATGCACTTCTTTTCTTTTCATATCCCAAGTGTACTATTACTTTGGCTTTAATGGATACATGGACAAACAATGCTGCAGCCTGTCTATGGGAGTGTTAGAAATGGCCTGGAATGGCTTTGTGTTGTTGTTGTTTTTTTTAACTCTTAGGTCAGCACTTTGGCAGGTGACTATTGACAGGAGTGAAAGTGATTAAAGACTTCAATTCAGATAGACCACACAAGCACAAAAGTCATTCTGAAGGAGGATGTAAGAACGCTTAGTGGTCACTTTATCAGCTGCACCTGTTCTAGCGCTTGTTGCTGCAAATATGTTATCAGCCAATCACATGGCAGCGATATGTGCGGGCAAAAGAACTGCTTCAAGTAAAGTAAACGTTGGAATATGGATGAAGGGAATTTGGAGTGATTTCGAATGTTGATGCTGGTGCCAAATGGTGCCGAGTTAAATCTTTCAAAAACTGCTGATCTGTTGGGTTTTTTTTGGCATCCGGTCGTCTCTGGTGTTTAGAACAAATATATGGTGATCAACAGCTCACTGGGTTCAAACAGCTGGTTGTTGCTACAGTTTGAGGTGAATGGCCAGGGCTGGTTAAAGCTGATAAGAAGGCAGCAGTAACTCAAGGACTGAATAGTTAAAACAAAGGTTTAAAGAGAAGCTCGGGGCTTTTGACATTACGGCTTCATCCTGTATTATGTAATTCTGCTGCTGGAAATAAGGTGTAAAAGATTTTAAACTTTAATTCTGTTAAAGTAAAAAAAACATTTCCAGCTCAATAATATACATAATTACTATGTTCTATTAATTTATAAATTGTCTTTAATTTACGCTTTAGTCGTGAAAGTTTTACTTTTCTATATTGAAGATTTTAAATAAATTTGATTCCACACACACGTACCGGACTGTTGCGTGCACGCTCCTTTGCGCGGCGACTAGTCACACTTAACAACCGAATACTGCTGCCGGGAGTGCAGTTTGCGCGTCGACTAGTCACACAACCGAATACTGCTGCCGGGAGTGCACGTGGGAGGACTAGAGAATCTCCCCAAGAGTCTTTGCTGCATCCACACCATATTTGGTTCTTGACAGTATCATCGTCAGTCGGGCCAAGATTCAGTATCTACATCCAAGTAGACCCTGGATAAATAGTGTTTCCAAAGAATTTGTTTGTTTTCTCCCTGCCAATGTACCAGATGTTGTTTGTGAAATACTTTTTTTTTTCATTATTTGGCAAAACTTTTCACGACAGGCCATGCTTGGTTCAAATCTGACGACTCCATTCTCCCGAAAATACAACAAGGTCAGCTCAAACGAGCCACAACAACTCCTGTGTGGCATTAACCCACCCGTAGCAGTAAATAAAGAGCCTGCTTGGACCTCCTAAAGGAGTCACCCGCCTCCCTTAACTATCCTCCAGGCGTCATGTAGCCCTGGCTTATGATCCCTGACCAAAAACAAATGTGGTCCCTGGTATGTACTTTACAATCCAAACTCCCTAAAATACAGAATCACCCTCACTGTTTTTTCCACTTCAGAGCAGTAGCTGAAGTGTGGGAGCACAAGTTAGTATCTGTATTAGTCGGTGTGTGTGTGTGTGTGTGTGTCCTGCCCACCTCTCTCTCCACTGATCTGCAGCAGCGTTGGTGGGTCCACCTACACACCTTCCTCATCATCAGTTACATCCTGACTCCTCTAAAGTAGTAAGTCCTGTGAGTGTGCCTGTTGCCGGTGCCAACATTTTGCCACGGCAAACCTCCACAGTGAATGTTTGGAGGGTTGAGAGTAACTTGACGTGAGGGGAAATGTTCCAATTTTAGACCCTTACATAGTCACAGGACTTAGCTGCTCCTCGGCACGAACGTAGCCGACACTCGCCTCACACGGGGTTACAACTATATGTAGTGGAAATGGAACCTCTGACAGGAACTATGGACTGGTTTCACACCGCCGTGGTGACAGAGATGGTGAGCTCTTGTTGCTGTGAGTGTGAACAATCTGGTCGATCTGAAACATGCAGTAAAGTAATGGTGCTCGAGCTGAAGCAGAAAAAAAAACACCTCCCAGTGGAGACATATTGACTCTGCAGTGATGCATAGAGCAGCGAGGCCCTGGGAACATCCCCTTAACTTCCTTAACCTTCACGGCAGGCAAAGAGAAATCCTCTCAAGATGACCTTGCCACTGTTAACAATCTCATTCTCTCCTCCTCCTTTGAAGGAGCCACCTTTAACCCGGCAATGGGGAGAAGATCCATTGTTCTCTTCCTCCTCCTCCTCCTCCTCCTCCTCCTCCATCCCCTCCACACCTGTCACTGCTGATGCTCACAAAAAAGACCTCAGTGATGGGGAGATTGCTGCCTTTCATTTGTCTAACCCACTGCACAGCTTACGTGTGAGGTTGTAATTAGTGTCAAGAACAAATTTGTTGGTGCTAATGGGGCCGCAAGCTGTGGCCGCAGCGAGCACAACACGGCTACACGCAGTGCAACGAGACCAGATGGAGCTGCTGCTGGATAGACAGGGCGCTGTCGGTGGAAGGTCTCTCCCATCAGCAGCAGCGTCAACGTCCAGACGACTGGATGGGTTTGCATGACGTTGGCGTGTTAGCACGCAAGCACTGGCACGATGCAGTGTGCAGATATTATCATTTAGCTCAGAGCTAAACTCATTAAGAAGAGTCTCACATAACAGCCATTATCGCTGCACACTGTTTTGTTTTGTTTGTTTGTGTTTTTTTTTTTTACTGGAAAACAAAGATACATCTGCAGCAGCCTCTGTTAGCTACGGCTGAGCTGTCACGTTTCATATGAAGCTCAAACATCTGTTCAAGCACAGGGGCAAAAGTTCAAATTCAAATTTATGATATTCAACTTGAGTGTGTGGATATCTGTTTAAAATACACACACACAAATGATAGATGTCTGCTGAAGAATTGTGCGGGGAGGAGTGAGCAGGCACGTTTCTCAGATAAAGAGGCCCTGATTGTCATTGAGGAACATTATGGGGTTTATTTAGGATTCTGCAGAACTCTTCATCCTAACAATTCAACTTGAGATGTGATTGTGTCATATTTGTCCAACCAGGAGCAACGCTTAGCTTCCCTTTGACCCAGTAGCAACATAAATTAACTCCGGGTCAGGGATCTGCTGAAAGCTAGAGTGCCATGCCTGACAGTGATGAACAGCATGCACAGTTACAGAAGAATGGATTCTGAAACCCACAGTGCACTGAGCAGCATGGTGCACTGTTTGTGTATTAGTGACATTAGAAAAAAACCTTGATTATTATTGGAAAATATCTTGTTTACAATAGTCTGGCGTCATGCATGGAGTGTATTTGTTGCCCTAATGCGAGATGTGAAGAAAATATGTGTATTGGGTAAAAAGACATGATATCATTAGCAAGATTTTAATAACCTAAGCATGTCAACAGATGTTGCTCTGTGGCAGGTTTTTCAACGTCCTCAAAGTTTTGAAGTCAGAGCAAAAGGGCACCTGGGAAATATACTAAATACAATATATATGTAATTTAAATACATATTCATATAAACACACATGTATATATTTATATATATTATGTATCTGCATCTATGTATATATTCATATATATACATATACGTTAATATATACACTGACACACATACGTATATATATATATAAATATATATATATATATATATATTTATATATATATAGGCTTACGTCATTTAAGATTATATTGTCAGAGCCTTGATGAAAAGATTTATGTACACTGAGATTTTCTCTAATCCATACAATAATCCTGAATGAGAATGAAGCACATACTGTGGGCTGTCTGCACCCAGATAATGTTAATGGATGGACTA